TGTTAAAAGGTTATCTGTCTCCACCACAATCCTATAGAAAATGAATAAGATGGTTTTATTACAAGCAGGAGTTTCCATGGTTGCCTCGTGCCGAGATACCTGGAGGTCATTTGATTTGGGGAGCTGGGGAGCCATTTTGTGGCTGAGGACTGGTGGGCTGCTTACTGTTCTGCTTACAAGGTTGCTTACAGTTACTTACTATTACAGTGTGAAGGTGTGTGGTAGTTTTAGTCTAAGCCTTCCTTGGTGACCAGTTTGTAACCAAGGATTACCGTATTACCCAGTATTCCGTACGATTTTTACGTAAGCCAGGGTATAAAGAAGAAGGGAGGAGAGGCCTTTGCCCTCTTCCCTTCCAGTGGCTCTGGAGGTGCGGGTTCCCTGCTGTCGGGTCTGCCGTGTTGGGGAGTGAGGCCTGGTGAGGCCTTGTCAACCTTGGGAGGTGGAGGTTGCCAGCAGTCATTCCAGCGCGATTTCTGCTGTCCCAAGGAGAGTAGTAAGATATTCTTGTGCTAATTCTTTAGTTGCTAGATCTTGAGTTATTGATCGTGTATATTTTATTTTGTTTTGTGTTCCCTTTTTCTTTCCCCCCTTCCCTTTCCCTTTTTCCTTGGAATTGTACATAGTATTTCAACTGTATATAGCTGTATACAACGTAAATACATTTATTTTCATATAAGTTTGGCTAGTCTAGATTTTTCATAGTTTTTTTCCTTAGCTCTTTGCCGGAGGTATCTTTTTGTGTTGGGTCTGGGGATTTGGTGGGGAGCCACGTAAAACTTAGACAAGGTGGGCCAGAAAGTATGTAAGGCGGTAGGACCAGTCTGAGCTCACTGCCAAGGGACCATGCAGCTGCGGGCAGGGAAACAACTTGATAGGTTCGTTAAAATAACCAATGGACTGCAAGAAGAAGACTATATTACCTTTTAAGGAAGAAAAGAGTGAGGCTTGGCATAGGAGGAGTGAGGGAGTGGTTATGTAAATCAAAGGGTCTTAAAAGGGCTCGCCCCTCCCATTCGGTGTGTGCTCAGACCTGGTCAAGAGTCCGGTGCACCCAGCACGCTGTTAATAAAGTTCTTTGCTTCAATTTATTTGGCCATCTCCAAAATTTTAATCAGAGATACTTCTCACACTGCTTTCTGTCAAGAGCAATCATATCTGGTTTTCATACACATACTGCCAGTAATTAGACATGCATAGGCCAGTTCTGTCTATGTATTATAAACATGAAGCACAAAAGAAGAGAGCAAGTATTTAGGAGGTTGAAAGCATTTGTTGTCTTGTTTTCTGTAATTAACCATGATTGTAGAACAAAACAGCTACAAAGAAATAAATGTTCTGGCAAACAGAAGTACAGGTCATTATTCCTAATCCTCAATAATTGCAGCTAATGTTCAAACTGAGCAAGACAATTATGCATATCTTAAGCATGTTTAGATTTAGAGGAATTCTGGGGAGTTAGAGTTGAAGATAGGAGAGTACGTGGTCTACAGAAAACTGAGTTACTGAGGAATTAAGTATAAGCCAGGACTTCCTTTCAGTGCTGTAGGTACAACAGAAGCTCATTGCTACCAAAGCAAGATGTGCCAGAAGCAACCCTGATTAGAGCAGAAGAGAGAGTCTGCTCAGGGAAGGAAAGTGGGCTGAAAGCTGCTGCTATCAAAGGCAAGTGAAGCAACCACCTTATCTATGAAAGAGGGGCATCCTGTGCTCTTTTGCTCATTGAGATTAGATTAAACCCAGTTAACATTTATTATCTTTCTTAGATTCTTTTCTATGCACCACTCTAACATCAAAACAATAGGATTAAAAAGAACACATAGAAAAGACTTAACTGCATATGTTACCATCAAAGTCGCTGTTCATCAGACTTGACATGACAGAGGCACGTGTTCAGAGATTCTGGGGAAACCTGAGAACCACACTTTTCAACAAGGTTTTTTTCTGTCTGACATACATTAGAAGGGTTTTTTTTAACCCTAAGAAGTGTTTCTGACCTTGTTTTATTTTTAGTTCACTACAGTTTTTCCAGGTGAGAGTACTTTCTACATTTATGTAAATATTTAAAACTGACTGGCACTACATTTAGTTTATTAGAGTTACACTTGTCCTGACTGCTAATCTGAAGAGTTGAAGCATGTAATTACTAAAGCTAGTATACCAAGTAAAAACAGATCACACGCAAAAAATGGCCTCTAAGAAAACTAAAGTTATCTAGGAAACAGAGACATATAAAATCTGGTCTGCTGGCCTCTTTAAGAATAGAAATGAAAGCAGGTGGTAGTTAAGACAGGATAGATAAAAGAAAAAATGAGCAAAAGGATGCCTTAAATAGATAATTGTGAAAGTGAAAATCCACACTAGATTTTTTTCCAGCAACTCACTTTTATTCTTTTATTCTAGCATCCTTCTCTGATTAAAGCTGTTTTTAATGACAGCCACCCAGAGAAGGTAGGTAGGCCAGTACTGTAGTTTTCTTATCCTGAGTTTCGCTGCATGGTCCATCAGTGACCAGAGATCTTAAGCACTAATTGGGCATCTGCTTTTTAAACTAGGGAAGCCAGTACCTTGAATAAAGCTACTCATCAGGGCAAATTAAAAAAGCAGGGGAATGTATTTGACAAGTGCAAACAAAACCAGAACTATGACAAAAAACCTTCTGGCAAAATGATAAATGCACTAGCCAGAAGAGTAAATGTTGCCCTCTGAACATGGAATGTTCTGCCTGGGTGCAGTTACTGCCCCCCCAGACTGGACACACACTGAGAAGTGAAAAATCTATATGCCTCCGAGCACCATAGCAGATGCTCTTCTGCGCATCTGTGCTAAGAGAAGAGAGTCAGGAGTACCCAAAGTGACCATAAGAATTCGGTTACACAGCTACAGACTAACCCAAGAATTTTGTCCAGTATGCAGGGGACATTTGGGGATAATTTTAGTTCTATTTCAAATTGATGTTTTAAGCAGGTTTGGGTTGTGAGTTCTCAGTTGTCCTTTATTGTTTTGTATTACTTGACATGAGGCAGTTGTTTTAAATATTGAGAGCAGTTCCTATTGGCTCAGATCAACTACAGTATTATGTAACAAGTACACCACACTTTCATGTCTAAAGTGCCCAGAGTAAATGCAAAATAATGAAGAAAGATAAGACTCAACAGAACTCACAACAAGGTAAAAACGTGAACATAAATAGTTATCGCAGCTCTGCAATGCAAAGAGGAGTTGTAGCATTGGGAAAAGGGGGAGCCTAGGAAAGGAAGTAAAACACTGCAAATACAAGTTTAGCAACAGCCTACAACATGGATTATAGGACTCTTGAGATGAGGCCGAGCTAATTTTAGGTCTCATTTCAAGTAAAGCAGAGCACTTCTTTCAGTGAAAGAGTAGCAGTGACCTTCACAGTGAACTGTGAGGTTTCTCCTATCAAAGTCTTCATTTAGCTTTAGAAGTTTCTGCTTCTATTTTAGACTTCCAGAAGGGCTGGTGTGCTGAAAGAACTGTCTCTTTTTTTAGATGCATCAACTCGAGTATATGAAAAATATTACCTCTCCCTTGCCTGGTTTATATATTTCAATTCTCCTGGCAGAGAATTCGTAGTTAAATAACTAAGTTACTGTTAGCCTTAAATTACAGATTTAAGATTAGTAGAATCAGCAGACTCCTGACTTTAAGAGACATGGACAGTTTTCACTCATCTGTCAAGCAGTGAAAAGGACTCATGGTTAGCATTCCAAATAATACCCACTTGGTAAGCAAAATGTATGAAGGAAATCCTCCAATACTAACTTGCACAAAATATACCTATTTTTAAAAATTAGAACTTATTTTTCCTGTCCTTTGGCTCCTTGGTGATGGTATTTCTGGTTAGAAGTAAAGTGCTTAAGGAAACATGGCTGCTTCTAGAAAAGCAATACTGATTGAGAGCAGAGATTTCCTGCCCTTTCAGCAGTAAGACAGGCTGTTCACACTTGTATGTGGTTTGCAAGAAAACAGGAAAAGGTCACCTAAGTAGAAAACAATGTGGTGAGTGTTATTTTTTAACTATCTTAAAGTGCTTTAAAAAGTGCCTTCATGGTTGGAACAAATGTTTTCAAACCCCATGCATCACTACAGGTCTGCGGAGGAGTGGCTTGAGAGCTGTTCAGCAGAAAGGGACTTGGTGGTGCTGGCTGACAGCTAGCTGAATATGAACTGGTGTGCCCAGGTGGCCAAGAAGGCCAATGGCATCTTGGCCTGTACCAAGAATAGTGTGGCCATCAAGATTAGGGCAGTAGTCATCCCCCTGTACTTGGCACTGGCAAGGCCTCACCTCAACCACTGTGTTCAGTTTTGGGCCCCCCACTTCAAAAAGGACATTGGGGTGCTTGAGCCTGTCCAGAGAAGGGCAACAAGACTTGAGAAGGGTCTAGAAAACCGGTCTTATGAGGAACAGCTGAGGGAGCTGGGTTTGTTCAGTCTAAAGAAGAGGAGGCTCCAGGGGAACTCATTGCTCTCTACAACTACCTGAAAGGAAGTGGTAGTGAGGTGAGGGCTGGTCTGTTCTGCCATGTCTACAGCAAGAGGACATGAGGAAATGGCCTTAATCTGAGACAGGGGAGATTCAGATTAGGTGTCAGGAAATTTTTTTCCACTGTTAGGGTGGTCAGGCTTTGGAATTGTCCAGGGAGGTGGTGGAGTCACCATCTGTAGAGGTGTTCAAAAAGCATCGGGAAATTTGCATTGGACTGACATACATTCATTCCTGGTGGAGAAAGAGACTTAGCTGTTAAAAATTCTTCGCTAAAACTAATGGAAGAAAACTTCTGGAATAATGATTCTGCCACCTAATTTTTTCCTGCTTCCACCATCCTTGATTGCCTTTTTTGGGGGATGTTCTTTGGGTCTTGTTGATTTGGGTTTGGGGTTTTGGGGGGTTTTTTTGGTTGTTTGGTTTTGTGTGTCTGTGTGTGTGTGTCTATGTCATTTACTTTTGGGGATTTTTTGTTTGGAGATTTGGTTTTGGGGTTTTTTTCCTGATTGGTTGGTTGTGGTTTTTTAATTTTTTTTCCTGCTTTTAATCTGGTTTACCTTCTCTTAGCCACTGTGTCCTTCTTATGATTTTTAGTTGGGTAATATTGTCTTCTTCACTGATTTCTTAGCTAAAATGGCCTCCACGGGTCAATCTCTCAGGTAGCTCTCAGACCCTCCTCTCCAGCCTAAACTTTCCCAACAGCTGCCTGGAGGTCTCTCCTGCTTGTGTTAATTCAACACATTCACTTTGCTCTGGGGCAAAGTTTGAAAAGAAGCATCATCTTTTAGTGGAAAGATGTCACACTGAGAAAAGTCTTGGGAAAAATCTCAAAACTGACTTTCCAAACATCCATAGTTCTGATGTAATTATCTCCTTAACAGACATAATTTTCACAACTGAATATGTTTTCTTGAGACATATTTACCCACAGGTAAATGAGAGATTCCAGTCCTCTCTGCTGAAGTGTTGGTTCCACCTCACCTCTCCTACCCACAAAGGATCCTAACCTTTTCTCACATTTGGAAGAAAATATACAGAAAGGTACAGTACTACAAAGAATTCCTATAGAAGTTTCATGTTTTCATAGCCTCCCCAACTTTTTAGCGTGGTGCTTTCCACACCTTTATGCTGATCACTCAACGCAATTATTTTTATATAAGTAAACTACAGCTGCAATAAGTAATAACATCTCTATATAAGTTTTAAGAAGGTAAACATTAAAATATTACCACAGATGAATATTAATTTTTAATTAAACTATACTCATCACAGAGAAGGTGTTGCCCTAATATGGCAGGTGTATGCCCTAAACCAAAGGAGAAGAAAACACGGCAGCTATTTATTTAGCAGCTGATTGATTATTCTTTTCCATTCAAATAAGAAACCAGTAAATTGTTTTGAGTATGTCTGTGCAAGGCTGTTTTTCTTAATGACAACTCTATTACACTCATATTGCATGTCTTGACTTGTCACATCACTGTAGGTAATAACATATGTGTTTGACTTTTCCATACTTTTGAAGGAAGGACTTAATGAAAAACAAATATTTACACTCAAATCATACACATACATCCCACAAGCAAGATGCAAAAGATTAATAGCCCTATTAAGAAGGCTATTAACCATTAGTTCCACGCTGTGTACATTATATCACTTTCTGATTTCAGCTTGTTCGGTCTTTCAAGATTGTGGATTTTTCCTGCAGTATGCAACTATATACATTTTAATTATCTATGAAAACATGTATTTTCCTCTTTATCCTTAACAGTATTTCCAAGTCACAACCACACTGTTCAAGCCTCTTTAAGATGTGCCATTGTTAATAAATAGGAAATTCTCAGTAAAAGCAGGAAGAGCTATTTTTCTTCTTGCTCTCCTACACTGCCCACAATTCAAAGCAGAGCATTAAATACTGTCATTGTTGAGTTCAATGTTTTCAGACATCCCAGAAGTCTGATGGACTATGGTGACAGACATTTTGGAATAATTACAGAATCACAGAATGGGTCAGGTTGGAAGGCACCACAACGGGTCATCTGGTCCAAACTCCCTGCTCAAGCAGGGTCATTCTAGAGCACATGGCACAGGATTATGTCCAGATGGTTCTTGAATACCTCCAGTGAGGGAGATTCCACACCCTCTCTGGTCAATCTGTTCCAGTGCTTAGTCACTGTCACAGCAAAGTTCTTCCCCATGTTCAGGTGTACCATAGTTCTCAGCTCACTCATTATCCTCACCAAGATATAGCTTGATACATTCTAAGGGTTGTCTCACAGAGAGGGCAACTCCAGCACGGTGCCTTCCTGATGTGTCTCTCCTAAACAGCAAGTAGCCCTTCAAGACAACATTTCAGTCATGCAAGCTATCCCACTGCAGAGGGCATGGATGAAGAGAGAGAGAAGTTTATGAGATGGAAGAAGTAGCTGCGAGAGGTTATAGCTGAGGCAGCAACAGAGGAGGACGTGCTTTGAAGACATTCAGCACTGTTTCATGAGAACAGAGACTGTTGACTTAATGGAGACTGATTCAAGTTGTTAATACAAGCTAAATGTTTATCATACCCCAGTTTATACCAAACGTTATAATACTTTTCCCCTCACATTTATCCCCTATTTTTTTATTGGTTGTAATTTGCTGCATTGCAGATACTCCCCTCATCGGCTCTCGCTAACCCTTCGTTCCCTCCTTCCTAATTGGCTGTTGTTCCTGCCTGTCCCATGCTCCTCCCCAGTCTCTAGAACTTTCCTATGTGACCCTATAAATAGAGCTAGCCCCCAGAATAAAGGTGTGATAGCTTTGAGCTACCACTCTGTTCAAACCCCCGGCTGTCGCATCTTCCTTTCCTTGACAACTGTGGCATCCCACCACATCCACATAATAGCAATGAGCTCAAAGCCCTGTGACTGCCCACAGATCTCTGGTTCCTCCTTTTTGTTCCCCATACTGCATGCATTGGTGGACAGGCACTTTATAGAAGTATTTGATGGTGTGAGCATCACAGTAGGGGCTCAAAGTGATGCTCCACAATACTGTCTAGTGGTTGCATCTTTGGCTGCTTCCCTCTTAAGCCTTCTTTTGCTATTAGGGTGTTCCTCTGGTGTTTCCTTATTGGCTTCTATTATCTCAGGAGTCTGTGGCTTGTCTCTGTAAGCTGCAGGTGGGCTCCAGTGTGGCTATTACATCTGAGAGTCACCTGCAGAGGGCCTTCACAAGTACCCTGTCCCTCTAACTTTTTCATACTATCCCACAGTTTGCCAGGAACAAACCTGATACTGTCCCCCTCCCCTATCATATCTAGTTTAAAGCTCTGCAAGTCCGTGGGTCTCACCAGGTTTGGAGTTTTCCTGGTGACATCCTTAACCCGAGTCCCAGGGGGGCCCCTATGGGTTGGGCCCAGTTGGCATATTGGGTCCTCTGTTCCCTTTAGCCTGGAATCTCCTACAGCTAAAACCCATCTTTTCTTTCTCTTGGAAGAGGTTATAATGCAATGGGTTATTACTGATTTGGTAGTGCCTCCAGTACGATGGAACCTTCATCCTCTTCATCCTTAGGCTAGTCTTCCACATACAAAGCCTCATACCTATTCCACATACAAAGCCTCATACCTATTCCACATACAAAGCCTCATACCTATTGTGTGGAGGCACCTGGGGGAGTGAGGTGGACAAAGAAGGGTCTCGGTTGCCTCCCTGAGTATGGACTACTCATTACTCTCTTCTTGCTTCCTGACTGGTACCTGCTTCTTGCTGGGGGATGGATAGGATAATTTAGGATCCCCCTGATCCTAAATTATTTCTGTTGGCTGCTCATGTCTCAGGGAGGCCAGAGCATGGTCCCACCAGTCTGTCTCCCTTTCTGATTCTCTAATGCTTCTCTACCTTTCTATTTTGTCTTGTAACTCTGCTACCAGGCTGAACAGGTCATCCAGTGGTCACATCTGATACAACTGCCATCACTGCTACAGTCCACTGAGAAACTTAGGCATTCACTACAGCCTGAAGCCTGGACAGTTGCATGGTTTTTTGGGAGCTCTGTCTGGGTTGTGGCATTTTTTTTTGTGAGCTTAGATGACTTGGCTCCCCACCAAGTGGACACCGTATTTGAACACTCTCAGTGAATGTAATGACCAGCAACTGAGCTAGCTGCCTGTGCTGCAGTGCCTCAGCCTGATCTGACACTCACCTCTGGACTTCTGTCTGTTGCTGCTGCTGCTACTGCCACCTTGCCAACTGACTGAGTATCCAACAGTATTAAAGTATTGGATCAGCAATACTAAATGAGTATCCAGAGTTACAGTAGGATGTTACTATGGGAAAAATAGTTGGCTTTAAGTAAGTGGGGAAAAGAATATTCAGCTGAATGACCCTGCTCTGTACATTGAAGCAGTGTGCTGGCTGGGCTTCATCTGGACAAGATGAGCCAGGGAAAGCAGTAAAAGTAGTTTTCTAGACCTCTCCTCTGGAGGACAGTGGATTTAGAGATCCCTTGTCTTGGCTCTCTATGTAAAACTGGAGTAGGTGGCATTGGTAAGGGATTACCTTTTAATCTGGGCCCAATACAATCATAGCAGTCACAACAACTACCCCTACACTTAATCACCTTAAGAGCTTTTTTTCACTGGTGTTCTCCAGCACTTTCATAAATATTATCGTACACTCGCAATGTTCGTGCAAAACACAGAGCAACTTCAATACTCATTATTAAACAGGTTCTGAGTAGATTATCACAGTTTGACATGTGCAGTTCTGCTTATTGTGGCAGATTATAAATGAGAATGAGGTCTGGAGCATAAACAGCTGCTTTTGGGTGCCCAGTTTTGATGAGCTATTGAATGTTTTGCCTCATACAAACATTAAATAAAGCTCCAGACCTCTGATTTTTATTTTTTTTTATTTGATCAAAAATTTAGTCACAAAAGTGATGCCATTTTAGAGAAACTTCTACTGATCCCAGTATGACAGACCCACTGAGAAGTCCATCTTTCCTGTGAGGATGAGCAGAGCAAGTTCCACTTGTCAGGACCTTCTGGGAACTGCCACTGCCTTCCTTCCCTCCCTGTGCACCTGATGCAGCCAGCAGAGACTGTCCAGATGGCAGACCTGTGAAGGAAATTCTGCTACATCAGTGGCAGAAGAAGAAAAGGAAAATTAAAGAAAAATTCTTTGTGTTATAAGAAAGCTAAGGCAGAAGACTATCTTTAGCAGGCAAACATTTGGATACTGACTTGAGAATCTGTCCTTGCAAGATATGCACTAATATGAATAGTACAGCTTGTTCCTTATCAGGCTTCACATTGTTTAATATCTGCCATTTAAAATAACATTTTCCAGGTTGTTTACTCAGCTCTTTGTTTCCCCGTTTTATCTGTTTTTAATTACAATTGGAAGTGATAATACAAAGAGCACTTTGCAGCAGCTAGCCACCCTCCTGTCAACAGTATTACCCTTACATTGCATGGCTGCAGCTTGCTGTTCCACAAAAATAAGGAATCGAACAGGCTTAAGTAGAATCAATGTCTTATCACTGAAGACTACAGCTTGCCATGTGTCATAGTTTGAAATTGGGCCCCCTTGAGAGTTCGAGGGGTTCAGAGGTGATTGGGTGCCAGGGCAGTGTTCCCTGGAGAGCCAATCACTGTCCATGTTGTTCGCTTCTGCTCAAAAATCATATATCACAGCCCCGGAAACGGTTGGCTTTGCAGTCTTGGTTGTTTTGCTGTTGGTGTCTGCTGTGTGTAGGTGGACAAGGCCAGGGGGTGGCTGGGCTTCCTCTCTTCCCCTCCGGGGGGCAGAGGGAAGCCCTGCGACCCCCCAACTCAGCCTTTGGCTAGAGTTAGAGTCAGCATTTGGAGTGTGTGCTGTGAAGGAAGGGATTCACAGCACCTGAGGTAAGAGAAGAAAGGCAGGTTTTGCAGCCAAGCCCTCTTCCCGCTCCTTTTCTGCAGTGAAGCTGTAGAGGGGAGCTTTTCTTTCCCTCCACTGTGAGTGGAGGAAGGGCTCAGAGTTGGAGCTGAGCCAGGAGACTGGCCGTGGAAGTAGGCCCGGTGCTCGGGAGAGGAGTCCCAGGCAAAATTGGAGACGGGCCAAGAGAGGCTCGGGAGTTGCCTGCCGAAGCTGACCGGGGGCAGCCGAAAACTGACTTGGAGGAATGAAGATTCCAGGACGCGTACACTTGATAAGCTACACTGCAGCAGTTTATGAACCGAGGTGGGACACCGAGAGGGAGAGATCACCAGCAGTAGAAGAGCAAGGACTCAAAGCTATCTTCTCGGACTTCATGAGGAGGAGAGACTACAACAAACAACTGCTGGAACTTGGTGAGGAGGGAGTGTTCAGGAGCCCAGAACATTCCCACAGCAAAAGACTGTGTTACGTATCAGCCTTAAAGGCTGCTCCTGGACTAAAGTTAAAGGAGGGGCTTGAAAGGACTGGCTGATAGTAATGTAATATATATATATATATATAGTTGCCTTTAGTTTGTATAGTATTTATCTGTGTAAATAAATGTATATACTTCCCCCTTCCCCTAGAGAAGCCTCTGGCCTGAAAGTTTCTCTCCGGTGTTAGGATAAATTGTTGAGAAGGGGTGGGGGAAGCTTGGAAGTTGGATTTTAGATTTCTAATGTAGCTCAAACTGCTACACCATGTTAAGAAAGAAGGAATATAAATCCCTTTCTGATGTACTTTATAGCAGAAATGCAGTTTAGATGAAGCTTCGGAAGTACAGTATGTACTACACAGATAATTTGTGTTGCCTCTGTACAGAACCACAGAACGTGTGAGGTTGGAAAGGGACCACTGGAGGTCATCTGGCCCAACCTGCCTGCTCAAACAGAGTCCCCTAGAGAATGTGACTCAGAAATGCATCCAGATGGTTTTTGAATATCTCCAGGGAAGGAGACCCCACTGGCTCTTTGGGCAATCTGTTACAGTGCTCGGTCAACCTTACAGTAAAGGTCTCCCTTATATTCAGGTGGAACTCTCTGTGGTCCAGTTTCTGCGCACTGCCTCGTTTTATTGCTGCATACCACTGGGAAGAGCCTGGCTCCATCCTCTTGACCCTCTCCCTTCAGATACTTGTATTGATGTGATCCCTCTCCATCCTTTTCCAGTCTAAACAGGCCCTGCTCCTTCAACCAGTCCTCATTAATCAGGTGATCCAGTCCCCTGATCATATTTATAGCCCTCCACTGGACCTGCTTCAGAAGCTCCATGTCTCTCTTGTCCTGAGGAGCCCAGAACTGGACATAGCACTCTGTGTGAGGCCCCACCAGGGCTGAGTAGAGATGGAGGATCACCTCCCTCAACCTGCTGGCAATGTTCTTCCTAATGCACCCCAGGATACTGCTGGCTTTCTTGGCCACATGAACACACTGCTGATTCATGGACAGCTGTTTTCCACCAGGACCCCCAGGTTCTTCTCCACAGAGCTGTTTTCCAGTAGGTCAGTTCCCATCCTGTACTGGTGGCACGAGGTTATTCTTCCACAGGTGTAGGACCCTGCCTTTACCCTTGCTCAATTTTAGACAGTTTTCTCTGCCTATTTCTCCAACCTGCCAAGGTCCTTCTGAAGGGCTACATGGGCCTCTAGGGTACTGGCCACTCTTCCCAACTTTGTGTCATCAGTGAACTTGCTGAGGAGGCATCTGCCCCTTCATCCAAGTCACTGATGAATAATTAAAAATAGTTATTTATTTAAACAATAATAGTCCCAGTATTGAATCCTGGAGGACACCACTAGTGACAGGCCTCCAACTAGATGCTGTGCCAGTGATTACAACCCTCTGGGATCTGCTGGTCAACCAGTTCTCAGTCCACC